GTTTCTTACAATAAAGTGCAGTCACTTGTGACTGTGTGTAAACTTCTCAGAGCTGCAGAGGTTGGAGGTGTGTTTCCTCAGGGCTGTGTGGTATTTGCTCATCATTCAGAATATCACAGCTGCATGACCTCTTCAGCCCCTATCATGCCCCAGGCTCTGTCACCTTGCTGCAAGCCAGCAACTCTGCAGCAGTTCACCCAGGAGCTCCTTCCCTCAGGGCCTTTGTTTAGCCATGTTCCAGGTCACCCACACGGCTATGTGCAGAGTCAAATCAGACACTGAATGAGGATCTTGGTATCACCCTCACCCATCTCTCAGATCTTAAACCAAATCCAGATCTTCTTTTTTTGTTATTGCACTACACCAGATGAACAATCACCAAATGGATTTGTATGATGCCAGTCGAGCTGTCAGAACTATATAACATCAAGCAGTTTCACAAACCTGAACCACATGCCTAAATTATTAGAATTCCTTGTAAACTCTACATAAAACCAACAATTATTTTTTCTTTTTAAAAATTGGCCAATTGGGAGTGGAGAAACTCGGGAAATTGTGATGGAATGTCCCAGTGAAACTCTTTGGATTAAATGGCATCTGTCCCAGCTTAATCTCACCTGAATCTTGATAAATTAGTTTCTAAGGTTGCTTTTGGTTGAGGAGAACTGACGGATGATGCTACAGCATAAACCATGGGATTCTATATTGAGCTTAAAAATCGTTTCTTGAACATCAGTCTTCCCCTGCATTGCCTAACGATGATCAGAGGGCCTAGTTGTGCTCCATCTGTTTTCTCTGATTATGTGTAAAACTGTTTTAGTAATTGCTGTCCCCCCTCTTTTTCTTTATGACCTTTAGACTGTAAAAGGTGGAATATCTGAAACAAGAATTGAGAAACGCATCGTGATCACGGGAGATGCAGATATTGATCACGACCAGGTAAAGACCTGAGGATCTGGCTCTGAAATTGACCATGTTTATTTTCTAAATTTTGCACCCATCATCGTATCACATCCTGTGTCAAAGCCCTTACCCTAGTGCCTCCTGGATGGGCCCACCTCCTAAGCTTGGCACAAAGGCACTTCACAGCCTAGACACAGCTTGTCCTTTCATCCTTCCTAGCAGTGAATTAGCATCAAACATGGGTTGCTTTTCTTTTCCCTCTGGCCTTATGTGCATCTTTGGGTCAGAATAAGGGGATTTTTGGCAACCATCAGGCATTCATGTGGGCCTGGTTTACAGGCAAGTCATCAGTTAGTAACAGAAGAATGGCATTAAGGTTTCCTCTGGATATATGCCCAGGAATGGGATTGCTGGATCGTATGGTAAGTCTGTTTTCAGTCTTTTGAGGAATCTCTGTACTGTTTTCCATTATGGCTGCTCCAGAATACATTCCCACCAGCAGTGTAGAAGGGTTTCCTTTTCTCCACACCCTCTCCAGCATTTATCATTTGTGGACTTTTTAATGATGGCCATTCTGACTGGTGTGAGTTGATACCTCTGTAGATTTGATTTGCATTTCTCTGATAATTAGCGATATTGAACATTTTTTC